TTACCGACGAAGAACGAGTCGATATTTCGTTGATATTTTTAATTAAGAAGTTAGGTTAGGTTCAAATGTGATGATCTATTTCGTTACGTGAGGATATAGAGATCGGATTCAACGCGTATTTTTTTGAACAAAGAGAAGAGAGAAAAATTAAGAGATAAAGAAAAATTGAGAAAAGTTGAGAAAATAAACTATCGACGTTACTACCGATGCATTATCGACGAATGGTAATAAAGAACGAGTTTCATTGCCGACCGGTTTTCCAATATCGGCCTCTTCAACTTTCGTTCATAATTTACGAAATAAAGATATAAAGGAGAGAGTAAAGAAAAGAATAATTTGTCTCTCTGTCAAGACAGGATGAACTTTTCGGTTTACGAGTTTCTTTAAATCAATGATTAATACAGATCGTGAAATAAGAAGTTTTCTTAAGAGACTTTTCTTTTTTTTTTTTTTTTAAGAAAATATTTAACTTGGAAAAAATATAGAGTGCCGGAGAAGAATTTTTCACGTCGAGTTTTCAAGACGGAACACACTGTGATTGTAATACTTGTACATATTTTAAATTGTAAAAACGTACGACTGAAATTCTGTTCCTCAAGTACGTAAAAAAAGTGTTTTCAAGTACTTAAACTACGGCTCGAGGGATTTTTAACACCAAGTTTTGAACCATTGATAAAACGTTCTAAAACTTTAGTAACGAAATAAAAGTAAAAAAAGGAAAAAGAAAATTTAATTTTTATCTAGATCAAATTTAATTAAAAATTCAAAATCAAAAGAAAAATTGACATTAAAAAAGAAAAAAAGAAGAAAAATATTAAAATTACTCGAAATTAATCAATACTTATTCCTCGAAAGAAATAATCAAAATCATCACATTTAATATAAAAAAAAAAAAAAGAAACCCCTATATAAAATTGGGAAAAAATAAAAATAGATATCATCATCGAATTTTCATCGCATCTCCATCTTGAAAGAAATCGTTGAGCTCGATATTTGGAAAAATTATATAAACAAACAAAAAAAAAAAAGAAATTAACTAACCAGTGCTGGGATGTCCCCATGACAAAAGGGAGGCACGTGGTGATGTCTTGTTGTTGTTGGTGCTGCGACAACCTCGGCGGACCCGGTTCTTCAAGTACTGGGGGTGTTGTTACTGGTGCATCTGGTGGTAGTATCGTAGTCGGTGCAAATAACGGTGGTGGTGGTGGTGGCCTAGGTATTGCTTCCGGTCTTTCTGCAATGCTATCGCTGGTAGTCGTCACTGTCGCTATCAGTACGGGAGAGTGGCTCCTTACGGAGGAGAAACTGCCGAAAACTTCGTCGAACGCCTCTGTCGAACCCGACAGCAAAGTTACTTACAGTGGTCTGTGGAGGGTCTGTGTCGCCATAAGTGAGTAACTTTAATACAGCGTTATGTCTCTTGCAATTATAATTATTTTTCTCTCTTTCTTCTTTTTATTTTATGCGATTTTTCTGGAGGAAAAAAATTTTCTTTCTTTCTTTCTTTTTTTTAATATGATTGTGAGATCGAATCGTTGATAGAATCTTTTGAAAATTTATTTGTTTAATTATAATATTTGAAGAAATTTTATTTTTACAAGAATCAATTCAATCGATCGAATCAAAAATGAATAACTTTTTCTCCTTTAATGAATATGTTCGTTTTCGCGTGAAATTTTTGAACGACATTCCCTCACGATATTTTATACATTGTTAGAGTCGAGATAGATGTAAGAAGTGATGAATGACGATAGATAGATTTTGCAAAAAATTCGTTTTAGCGATAATAGTAAAGAAAACGTCGACTCAGCAGTCGCCATTAGCCACCCTGAATCTTGGAATAGGTCAAGTAGACGTGTGAATGAAATCTTCAGCTACCTCTCAAGAAAAAAAAAAAAGATTTTAAACGTTTTAAAGAATCACCACCCTGCAATTTTTCAAAAAAAATTTCTATGCAACAAGATAAATATCTAAGTAAAAATATAGATTACACGCGATAGCTTTCATCATCCATTTCCCATCACAGACACAATAACAAGATAACAAATGTATCTTCCTCTTCCGATTGCCTTCTTACTTTTCAAAGCCTTTTTTAAATCAACCTCGATGCTATGAAAGGAAATAACTTTTCAAGAATTTACGATCTCGTAACAATCGATCCTCTTATACTTCTCTGCATTCTGTTTCGAAAAAGTGACGTAGAAATAGATAAACGTCATCGAGAAACGATAAACGGAAATTGAGAGAGAGAGAGAGAGAGAGAGAAAGAAAAAAAATTTAGCGAAGCATCGTGAAACCGGAAAATTGTTTGGGACCTTCTTTGAGGTTGGTACAGGTTGGTACGCCTGCGAAATCGCATTTAGGGGAATCTAATTCGGCGCCAGTTCGAGCTTTTTCCTAAGCTCTGAACCGTATCAAAGGATAAAAGCTATAGTTACATAAATGCAGTAGTCGGTTATTAAGTAAAACGAGATACAGTGGGTAGACCGTGACCTATCTTCGTTTATTCGTGGATGGAACAAAATTCTCTTTTTGTCGCAAATAATTTGTTTTATCGAGGGTGCATAGAGTTATAATATCTCTCCATTCAATTCTTTTTTTTTTTTTTTTATTTTAATCGTTGATCCCTGAAGGGATTTACGTAGGCAAAAAATTAGGTCTTTTTTTATAAAATGAAGTTTCTTATAGAAAAGAAGAACGAAATAAAATACGATTATTGCACGATGCACTAGATTTGTTAGAATTCGATTTAAACTTCCTCACTGGAAACTAATTTTCCTCAAACAAAGAGAATTAGCTTGCTTCTTCAGAAGAAAATTGAACCATTCTTGTAACACGAAGACCTAAAGTTTCTTGTACTTGTACAAACCTTGTTAACTTCTGTGAAAGGATTTTCTATTCGAAAAGAGATAATATCTTCTCTTCCGCGAAATCTATTCCATGGCTTAAAAAGTTTACGAAGATTTTATTGGAGATGAACGAAGTATTTTCAAAAATTTATCGATCGTTGATATTGCAGACTTCTTTTTTAAAAGGATTATTTTTTTAACCTGTTGCAAATATTTTCTTGTCTCTCTATCTTCTCTCAGAATTATTCTTCAAAATAAATTTATTTTTTTTATTATTCTTCCAAAATCTTATTTTTTCAAAATAAATAAGATTGTACGTATCAATTAAACGAATGTTTGAATAAAATGCTTCGAAACAATAACGCGTTGAATCAATTACGTATTTACGTGTTTAATCTACGAATGTTCACAGTTCCTTGACGTGAGAACCAACTTCTAGACTCTATCCCTCTTGGGAGCCACATGTATTCGAAACTTTTCTCTTCCTGTCCACAAACACTCTCGATGCCCTATGGGCTTTAACCTTACTCCACGTGACTGTTTACTATTCAGACCTCACATTAATAAAATAAAATTCCAATATTTCCAAAATAAAAGTGTAAAAGCACGTTAACGGGATTAAATTGGATTAAAGTTATTATTGAAAGTAAATATCAAAATTTTAAGTTGAATAACATTAAAAATTGTATCAGTATCTCGCATCATTTAAATCCACGATTTAATTATATTACATTCCGTACGATTGAATTTAAAAGTTTCAAAATATATTTATATTTTTCAAATTGGACGTGTAAAGATGATAAAAAGAAAAATAAACTTTTCAACCTATCTATTGGGACAGGTATTTAATTCAAATGAATTCTCGCTCGGCGGCCATTCCATTAGCTTATTTTTCATTTTCCGGTAATAATCTTTCGAATATACGATCGATCGATGCCATTTCCACAGCAATAAATACCAATAAACCTTTCTGCCAGAATATTTCTTTTCAATCCAATTATTTCACCACGAATTTGTCTTCCAACGATGTATCCATACGAGATACCGTTTATACCTTCTAAAAATAAATATGTTTCCGTTCAATCAAATCGATTCTGCGCGAAAACAAAAATTGTTTTATCGAAAATAATACAATTTCTAAAATTGTTTTTTTTTTTTTTTTTTTTT